GCTGAGAGAATCTAACCGGGAGGCAATCTAGAGAGATTGGAGCCAGGTGCTGCATCTCCTCTCTCTCACACACACAGGGAAAAACCCAAATGGCTCTGAGCCGTAACACCAGAGGTGTGACCAAGTCACTGCTTTGCAAGTCACAAATATGTCACAAGTCTTTCCAGTCAAGTCTCCAGTCAAGTCCAAGTCAAAGAGAACCAAGTCTAAGTCGGGTCCAAAGTCAATGATCTGGAAGTCCAAGTCAAGTCCAAGTCAAGTCCAAGTCCTAAACTTTGAATTTTCAAGTCATAATCAAGTCATCTGTCCAACTTCAATTTAATGGCAATGATAATAAATAAATCCCAGAAATAAAGCTTCTTAAAGCTTCATTTATTTGCTCAAACAAGCAAAAAGTGCAACTGAAGTTGTTTATAAACAAAGTGCTGCTGCAGTTAGCCATACAAGATCAAACCCAGAACGAAGAATGGTTTATGATTTTTGTCCATGTCGTGCTACTTTTGTGCTAAAATATCAAATATGCTCAAGTCATCATCAAGTCAACAGATGCAAATCGATTCAAGTCGCAAGTCATTGGCGTTCAAGTCTGAGTCAAGTCCTAAGTCTTTATAGATTGTATTAAGTCAAGTCAGAAGTCATTAAAATAATGACTCGAGTCTGACTCAAGTCCAAGTCATGTGACTCGAGTCCACACCTCTACAAATAACCACTCATTACAACCAAGTTATGCAGAAGAGCATCTCTGAACACACAACATGTTCAACCTTGAGGCAGATGGGCAACAGCAGCAGAAGACCTCGCCAAGTGTCACTCCTGTCAGCCAAGAACAGGAAACTGAGGCTACAATTCACACAGACTCACCAAAATTATACAGTAGAAGATTGGAAAAATGTTGCTTGGTCTGATGAGTCTCAATTTCTGCTGTGACATTCAGATGGTGGGGTCAGAATTTGGCGCCAACAACATGAAAACATGGGTTCATCCTGCCTTGTTTCAGTGGTTCAGGCTGCTGGTGATGGTGTAATGGTATGGGGGACATTTTCTTGGCAAACTTTGTGTGTAGTACACATGCTTTTGTATGTAAGGTTTTTCTGTAGGAGGTCCCAATAGTGAGTTTGAGGGGGCACAGACCTGCCCCCTAAGACCTGTGGAAGATGGAGAAGATCCAAGCCCCAGAGATCCAGAGGTCTCCCCCAGAGCACGGAGACCCTAGGGAGAACTCTACCGGAACAGCCCCAACCTCCCTCTCGACAATCACAGAGGACCACCCTGAGGGGGCCAACCAACAACTGTGTCAGAAGCCCAGGAGATAACAGCAAGAATACATGTCATACACTCACTCACACTCCCCATAAACACCCTAAATGGTCCCATTCATACTGGAGCAATGAGGAGTAGGCAACCCCACCCAACCCAGAGCAAAGCAACCCACCACCCCAGACCCCAACCAGACACCAGCTCCCAATCCTAGCCTCCAGCCCCGAGCAACAAACCAAGAACAGAGATGTGAGAAGACCTTTAGACTCCATCCTCCTGCTCTGGGGAGGCCATACAGATATCGACCGAAATACACCCCCCAATCCCTCACTGTCTTGGTGCAATGGGCATCGGCACATGAGGCAAGGCTGCGTGAATAGATCCTTCCCTCCAGATGCAGTTGAGTGTGCTCACCCCCAAAGCCCTAATTATGCATTTACGTGGAATTTCATTGGTGGGAGTGATCACACAGGCTGCCACGGGACTGCAGAGATAGGAACCACACCCGCACCCCGTGGACATAGCCACACCCCAAGGCCCTATGTGCGTGGTGTGTATGTGGTGATGTGATGAAGCAGGAAGAAGGACATTTCTGAGGATGGGAGAAGAGACTGGGGGTGCTAAGCCCCCCCCCCCCCCCCCCCCCCCCCCCCAGGATATAGGTTCCTTGCTAGCCCCAATAGGCACCCCAATTCCCAAAACCCAACTGGAGCGTGAAGATCCCAGCCCATCTAGCCAGGGTCCACAGCATCAGTATCACAGATCTCCAAGGAGCCCATGGTCGCCATCTCAGCTCCATCCCAGCACAATATCTACTTCCACCCCTGCATTTGGTCAACTTCCAGACTACATAAGACATCAGACACTCAGGCAGAGTTGGATCCTCCACTACAGTAACATATAGGGATGCACCAATTACAGTTTTTGGCCGATAACCGATCTTGAGAAAAACCTGACTTGCCAAGACAGATTTTGTCTTAACTAAAAGCAGATTACGTCAATGTTTCGATTTCCTTTTTTTGAGAAAACCAATATGAATGCTCATGAAACAATAACAGTTTCAACTGGACATGAGGTAATGTTCTCAAATACAAATGAACATATTTAGTATTTCTGTTTGAACTACAAAATCATATTTGTTCCTTTAGAATTTCATTTTTCTCATTTGTAAACAAAACTTTTGTACCTGTTTTGACACACTTGTCCAAAAAATATTCTATAGCAATGATTTGTTTTAACATTAACTAGGGGTGCACCGATTGCCGTTTTTGGCCGATTACCGATCTTGAAAAAAAACCCTGAGATTGGGGCCAATAGATCGGTTGGTCGATAGATCAGTGTTAAATCTGGTTTTCAGGTTTGAGACCGAGTTCATTTTCAAAATCTGGCTTTGATCTTGGTTTGGTGTCTGAGGATGTGGCCCACCGTTTTGCAGATAGAGACAAGATATGCTGCATCAGGACTAGGGGGCGCGTCCCCCACTGTGGGAACCACTGGTCTTGCTGTAGATGTGTGTCTCTGTGGTAAACCAGAAGCAGCTCATTGAAGGCACCAGAACATATTGGTTTTACTTTAAACATTCTGTTATTACAGTCTTTTTGTTACACCCAACCTAACTAAGAATACTACCCAAAGACATTTCCTTAAGTAAAAAGATAGTTGAATTTAAGCATTTTCATTTCCACCATCATTTCATATTTTATTATTATTATAGATAGTAATAATAATAATAATAATCAAGGACACTGTACAGAATAAAAACACAAATCATTCAATAAAACAAAAGTAAACATAAGGACAAAATAAGCAGAACAAATAAACAAAGATAACAAACAAGGCACTCTAAAATTCAAGGTTGATATGTGGTTATGAAGAGGTGAGTATTGAGTTGTGTTTTGAATTCTGTGAATGAGTTCATGTTCTTGATGAGAGGGGAAGGGAGCTCCAGAGTTTGGGAGCAGTGCAACTGAAGGTTCTACTTCCATGGTGCTGAGACGGAAGGAGGGCGCAAAGAGATGAATGGAGGTGGACCTGAGGGAGCGGGACGTGGTGACAATGTGAACGAGATCTGGGAGGTAGTGAGGGGCGAGGTTATGGATGGCCTTGAAGGTGAGAAGCAGCATCTTGAAGTCAATCCTGGTGTGCACTGGAAGCCAATGGAGCTGCTTGAGGATGGGGGTGATGTAATGAGAGATGGGAGTTTTAGTGACAATGCATGTTGCTGCATTCTGAACCAACTGCAGCTTACGGAGGGTTTTCTGAGGGAGGCCTGAGAGAAGAGATTTGCAGTAATCGATACGTGATGCAACCAGACTATGGATGAGGATAGAAGCAGAGTGGAAGTTAAGGGAGGGGCAAAGACGATTAATGTTACGAAGATGGAAATAAGCTGACCGTGTGATGCTATTGATATGAGATTTGAAAGATAGTGTGCTGTCGAGGATGACACCCAGACTCTTGACCTGGGGAGAGGGGGAAACTGAGGTGTTGTCAATGATGAGAGAGAAACTGTCAAATTTTGAAAGGGTGTTCTTGGTACCAACCAAAAGAAGTTCTGTTTTGTCTGTATTTAATTTTAGGAAGTTTGAACTGAACCAGGATTGTATTTCTTCAAGGCAGGTGATGAGGGAAGAGGGAGAAAGTGCAGAATTTGGCTTACTGGACAGATAGAGCTGGGTGTCATCCGCGAAGCAGTGAAAATGAATATTGAGTCTGTGGAAAATATTGCCAAGGGGATGAATGTATGTAATGAAAAGGAGGGGCCCCAGGACAGAGCCCTGGGGCACACCAGAAGAGACAGGAGTGGGCTGTGAGCAGGAGGATTTGAGAGTGAAGAACTGAGTGCGACCTGATAAGTAAGACTGGAACCACTGAAGAGGGATGTTAGCAATGCCGATGGAGGATAACCTATGGAGGAGAATGGAATGAGATATTGTATCAAAGGCCGCACTCAGATCAAGGAGGACCAGGATGGGTAGTAGACCGGCATCAGCAGCAATGTGGAGATCGTTTGTTATTTTGAGGAGGGCTGTTTCTGTGCTATGAAGTGGATGGAAACCGGACTGGAAGGGTTCATAGGAGTTTAGGGTCGGATGGGCGTGGAGCTGGGTGGCGACTATTTTTTCTAAGATTTTGGAGAGTAGGTTGGAGATGGGGCGGAGATTAGTAAAAATGATAGGACCCAAACCAGGTTTTTTAAGTATTGGAGTAACTGCTGACTTTTGAAGATAGAGGGAACAATACCGGAGGAAATGGATGCATGTATGAGAGTGGAGATGAGAGGGAGCAGGGAGGAGAGGCAGGATTTAACCAAGGCCGTGGGAAGGGGGTCAAGAAGGCAGGTAGAAGGCTTTGACTTGTGGATAATGTTACAAGCCAATTTACCGGGCTCGCTCCACTCTTCTAGATGTTATTAGAATCTCAGGGTTTGACTTGTAATCGGTATAGTGAGCGTGGCATCAGTTACCAACAAACACCCTTACTCTGTAGAGAGTTGATTAGCACATCACCAATTTTCCCAGGGCTTCTAATTCTGACCAAAATTTGTTTAAGTAGAAATAAGGAGGCTCAAACACACCTACACACACCCTCAGTCCATGAAGCTTATGTACACTTCAGGTTAAGACCCTTTCCAGCTGTTCCTTTTATGCTGAGGAGACAGCTGACTTTACCTGTAGCCTAGGATGGAGGAAACGACTTGTATCAACAACACCTTGGGACAGCATTTACAACTAGCATCTCACCTTTGCTCGGTTACCGACAGGAGGAGACCCCACTCGTAAATCCTTTTTTCGTTCCTCGAATCCGAGGAACTAGGTTTTATTTCACACAGATGAAAAAAGAATAATAATCCAAACGAAACCCCGACACAGCGGGTTAAAAAGTGAAACAACTCTTTGCCAAAAACCCGAGTTATAGCAAAGTTGAGCTGAATGAGCTCTCCAAAAATGACACCAGGTCAGATTATCACAGACAAAAAGCTCAACGCAAAAGCTTCCTTCTTTCCATCTCTCTACCTCACACACACCCCATCAAAGGCAATCTCCTTCACAGACTCAGCAACTCTCTTTTATTCACTCTGTCCTCCTCCCCTCTGCATTCTTCAGGGGTTGCATCTCCATGGCAACACCTCCCGCTTCTGGGACTCCACGTCTGGTCACATGATCTTCCTCTTCTTCTTGTTACTTCTCCAGCGGCCCCGAAGAGACCATAAACCTTGGATGCCATGATGTCACCTTTTCTTCTCCCAGTCTTCATCCGTTCACTTGTTTCTTCTTCTCAGCGCCTCCTGCAGGCGTTCCTCTTCTCCTCTTCCTCTTCTCTACATGCTGTTGACATTAGCCCAACGTTGCCCCTCCTTCTTATCAGCCTTCTCTGTAGCGTGGGGGAACAGTGAATCTTCTCCTTCTTGCTTGTTTAGTGGGCTCATCGGTTTTAAGAGTACGTGATCTGTTTTTATAACTATTAGCTGGTGCACCTGGACTTTCTTCAGGACAAGCCCCTTTGCCTCCTCCACTTCTCTGCAGGTCAAAAGGTTACCACAGAACCGTGGGGCCGAAACAGTTCAGAATATTTACGACTTCAGGGGTGATAAGAGACAAGGCTGTAGGGACACACACACACGGATACACTTTGGAAGGCCCTCTAATTGATTTCACATAGACATAATCCAGACTTAATTCCATACATTAACAAGTCGGATTATACCCCATACAACAGATAATATCTGATATCTCAGAAGCACTGGGAAGATGGAAAATGGAGTGTAACTGTGTTGGTTTGGGAGGATCATGTGGGGAGGTAGGGGGAGGCTTTGGTTGATTGCATGGTGAATGTTGATCATTTTCTCATTAAAGAACAGAAGAAGGGTGTTACAAGTAGCAGTAGAGCACGTGTGTGTGTGTGTGTGTGGGGGGGGGGTAAATTTAATTGATAATAGAGTACAGTAACTTAGTGTTGCCTCGATTGGTGTGGATTAGACAGGAGTAATACTGTAGTTTGTTTAGTGTAATTGTCATTATACTGAGTCATATGATTTTTATATAGTTCTTTGTGAATAGTGAGTCCAGTTTTCCTGTAGAGGCGCCCAAGCTGCCTGGATTTGGTTTTCAGCGTCTGGAGTTGAGGGGAAAACCAGGGAGCAGACTGACAGAATGAAACAGAACGAGTTTAACTGGAGCAAGGGAGTTTAAAGTGTGAGCTAACTGGTCATTGTAGAGAGCAGCCAGGTCATCAGGAGAGGAGAGACTGTCCGGCAGCTGAATATTATCAATGCAGGAGGAGAGGGTGTTGATTTTAGGCCTGCCTGGTAGTGCAGTTGCTAGTGTGGCAAGGTGGAGAGACAAGGGCGCGGGCGGGATTCGATCCCCAGACTTACAGGTGAGAGTCATGCGCGCTAACCAGTCAGCCAAAGGGACATCCCCTTGGCCAAGTAGCCAGGGCGCATGATCAGTTGGGACACTGTGACAGGACGCTCACACTGCCACTCTAGTACTGTTGCCTCAGCAACAAGGTTGTCATTTTGAATCCTACATGGTGTTTCTGTGTAGAGGAGGTTTTCTTTGGGGTTCCTCCCACTGACATAGGCCTAAATGTCCATGTTAGGTTAACTACAGACTCCAAACAAACCCTAGGAGTGACTCCGTGTGTCCCTGTGATGGACTGGAGACCCTCCCAGCATGTCTCCTGCCTCTTTCATGATGACTGCTGGAGACAAACACCAGTTTCACATAACCCTACGGAGGAGTAAGCAGTAAAGCATAAAGATTGGCTGAGTCTAATGGCTGCAGGAGACTGGAATGTAAATGGAAGAAAGGCCAGATTACTGTTGAAAGCGTGAGAGATGCGTGGTCCCAGTATCAGAAAGCTAGAAATGTTTTTTTTTGCTGGTATTATTTCAGCAAATTCTGACAATCCACATGTTTTATATAGAACCATAAATGCCACGCTCTCTCCTGCTGCAACCGTTTCTCCTCTGTCTCAACTGCTCTCTGTAACCAAATTTGACAGTTTTTCTCAGATAAGGCTGCTAAGATTAGAGCTCAGATCTCTCCTCCTTCCTGCACCCCGGCTCTGCCCACTCCTGCCCGTGGGCTTTTCAGCGTCTTTGAACCCATTTCTTTTCCCTGTCTGGAAATAATAACGTCTATTAAACCTTCTGTTATGGGTCCAACTCAAAAATGGTGTAGGCGCCACTTTCTGCATTCTGGTGTATTTACACAGTGTTACACCTACTTTACCTACAGTAGTAAAAGCTTAACTCAATGACTATTGTTAAACCTCTCGCTGTTTAATGCAGAAAATACTAAAACACTAAAAAATACTGATGTTGATTGTGTGTTTATTTTATTCTTGTCAATAATAAGAACACCAGCAGGTGGCTATGGACTGAATTTGAATTTAATGAACCATTTTAACATTTATTAACAACCACACCGCTTTGTTATATCCCTAATTTACAAAGCAACAATTTCATTTATCCCAGTTGTAATATTATTATTACTAGCCAAATTGAAAATACAGATAAGCAAGTATTTTGTTAGTAGTAGAAATTTCATGTAAGGATATCCAACAATTTCAGTGATCTGAGACAAACCCAAATCCTTAAAAAACCCAAAGCAACATTTATCAGGCAGATTTGATATATGTTCCAGATATGTACGAATCTGTTCCAAGTACATTTTTATATTCCAAATATCTATGATAACATTCTTACTATCCATAATGAACACTTGAGATTTCTTAAATACAGTTAGTCTTAGGACAAATGATGTCACATTTCCCATTCATGTGTATTGGATTCACAGCAGACTGAAGTTCTTCTTATGTGACATGAAAACAGTTCTAGTTTAAATGTAAGTTCAGATATTAAATAAAATGACTGATAGCTGGATGTTTTTTGTTCATTGTATCTATTTTAAATGAGACATTTTATTAGTAATAGTTGAATTATAGGTGTTTAAAGTTAGACTTTCTCCGTCAGAATTCAGTTTAGCTACTAGTGTTTATCTGGAACATTCACTTTCACTAAGAACAACAGATTGGGTCAGAACCAGCCTGCCTAATAAGTGTTTAAACAGCCAGAGCGCCTAGCTGAGGAATACCACTGACTAGCCAGCCAACTCCAGTAAAACCCGTCCAGTGGGACGTCTTTGGTAGAAATGTCCTGATATCCACGTCTGTTGGGGGATCAGACGTGGAAAAAACCTGTTGTTGGAGTGACTTCTCCAGCTTCACAAGCCTGCACTGAAGTTCCACTTCGGTTTTGTCTAAACACACTCAGTCCATCATGTGCTATAGTGTCTGGACTCTTCTCCAACAGTGTTTTATGTTTTATTATTAGGAACCCTACTAGCTGCAGCAAGCTGCTGCTTTTCTTCCTGGGGTACCTCGTTATACAATTACATAAAATTGTACATAAAAGAAGAAGAGAAATACATAAAAGAATAACAACACAGCAACAAAGTACACTTTGAAAACCAAAATCAGAATATACTTATCCTCAACATAATCTCATGATAATATTAATAACACAAAATGAACAATGAACAATCATGTCATAAAGCTTCAGAAATCCTAAGGCATCCATATTGCCACACACCTACATTTCATCTTCTGTAACAATATGATAAATTATTTTAAGTATTTAGTGAGTTCCTCCTCCCACATTTCTACCTAAGTAATCTTTTAATCTGGTTTTAAATGCATTTTACTCTCATTACCAGTGATTTGCTTAGGTAGACAGTTCCACTCATACATCCCTCTATAAACCATTAGATCTCACTTTTGGCAATGTGAATTTCCCTCCTTCAGCATGTTGGGTGGCATACACATGCTTGTCCTTACTAAATTCAAGGGACATATATAAAATGGACGTCGTCTTTGTCTCCCTGAGCTTCCAAATAAATATAAGTAGTCGGTCCTTCACAAGAAGCCAGTTCAGCTCAGTGTGCATTTCTCATACATTTGCCCTGTTTGCATATTAGTGTATGGCTGCAGTCGGCCTGAATCTGCGGTCTCTGGGTCTGCAGTGATACCTTTCTCTCCATGTGTGCACCAGAGCAGAGCAACCAGGAAAACATGGAATGGATTGCAGCAGACTGAGTCATTTTTGATGGATCAAGTCGAATGGATTTCTATGAGAACGCTTGAAAGAGCACAAGGGGGGCCAAATGTGTCCCCTTCTGACATGATGGTTCAGACGCCTATGCTGCTGTCACACACCTCACTGCTGTCTCACACCTCACCACTGTCTCGCACCTCACCGCTGTCTCACACCTCACTGCTAACTCACACCTCACTGCTAACTCACACCTCACTGCTAACTCACACCTCACTGCTAACTCACACCTCACTGCTAACTCACACCTCACTACTGTCTCACACCTCATTACTGTCTCACATGTCACAGCTAACTCACACCTCACTACTGACTCACACCTCACTACTGTCTCACACCTCACAGCTAACTCACACCTCACTGCTGGCTCACACCTCACTACTGTCTCACACCTCACTGCTGACTCACACCTCACTACTGTCTCACACCTCACAGCTAACTCACACCTCACTACTGTCTCACACCTCACTACTGTCTCACACCTCACTGCTGACTCACACCTCACTACTGTCTCACACCTCACAGCTAACTCACACCTCACTACTGTCTCACACCTCACTACTGTCTCACACCTCACTGCTGACTCACATCTCACTACTGTCTCACACCTCACTACTGTCTCACACCTCACAGCTAACTCACACCTCACTACTGTCTCACACCTCACAGCTAACTCACACCTCACTGCTGGCTCACACCTCACTACTGTCTCACACCTCACTGCTGACTCACACCTCACTACTGTCTCACACCTCACAGCTAACTCACACCTCACTACTGTCTCACACCTCACTACTGTCTCACACCTCACTACTGTCTCACACCTCACTGCTGACTCACACCTCACTACTGTCTCACACTTCACTGCTGACTCACACCTCACCACTGTCTCACACCTCACTGCTGTCTCACACCTCACTGCTAACTCACACCTCACTACTGTCTTACACCTCACTACTGTCTCACACCTCACAGCTAACTCACACCTCACTACTGACTCACACCTCACTACTGTCTCACACCTCACAGCTAACTCACACCTCACTACTGTCTCACACCTCACAGCTAACTCACACCTCACTGCTGGCTCACACCTCACTACTGTCTCACACCTCACTGCTGACTCACACCTCACTACTGTCTCACACCTCACAGCTAACTCACACCTCACTACTGTCTCACACCTCACTACTGTCTCACACCTCACTGCTGACACATCTCACTACTGTCTCACACCTCACAGCTAACTCCCACCTCACTACTGTCTCACACCTCACTGCTGGCTCACACCTCACTACTGTCTCACACCTCACAGCTAACTCACACCTCACTACCGTCTCACACCTCACTGCTGACTCACACCTCACTACTGTCTCACACCTCACCACTGTCTCACACCTCACTGCTGTCTCACACCTCACTGTTGTCTCACACCTCACTGCTAACTCACACCTCACTACTGTCTCACACCTCACAGCTAATTCACACCTCACTACTGACTCACACCTCACTACTGTCTCACACCTCACAGCTAACTCACACCTCACTACTGTCTCACACCTCACTGCTAACTCACACCTCATTGCTGACTCACACCTCACCGCTGACTCACACCTCACTACTGTCTCACACCTCACTGCTGAATCACACCTCACTACTCTCTCACACCTCATTAGTGTCTCACACCTCACTGCTGACTCACACCTCACTACTGTCTCACACCTCACTGCTGACTCGCACCTCACAGCTGTCTCACACCTCACTACTGGCTCACACCTCACTGCTAACTCACACCTCACTACTGTCTCACACCTCACTACTGACTCACACCTCACCGCTGTCTCACACCTCAATGCTGTCTCACACCACTCTACTGTCTCACACCTCATTGCTGTCTCACACCTCACCGCTGACTCCCACATCACAGCTGTCTCCCATCTCTCTGTTGTCTCACATCTCACTACTGTCTCACACCTCATTGCTGCCTCACACCTCAGAGCTGTCTCACACCACACTACTGTCTCGCACCTCACTGCTGACTCACACCTCACTACAGTTTCACACCTCATTGCTGACTCACACCTAAACACTGTCTCACACCTCACTGCTGTCTCACACCTCATCGCTGATTAATACCTCACCACTGTCTCACACCTCACTGCTGTCTCACACCTCACTACTGTCTCACACCTCACAGCTAATTCACACCTCACTACTGACTCACACCTCACTACTGTCTCACACCTCACTACTGTCTCATACCTCACTACTGTCTCACACCTCACTGCTGACTCACACCTCACTACTGTCTCACACCTCACAGCTAACTTACACCTCACTACTGTCTCACACCTCACTGCTGGCTCACACCTCACTACTGTCTCACACCTCACCGCTGACTCACACCTCAGTACTGTCTCACACCTCACAGCTAACTCACACCTCACTACTGTCTCACACCTCACAGTTAACTCACACCTCACTATTGTCTCACACCTCACAGCTAACTCACACCTCACTACTGTCTCACACCTCACAGCTAACTCACACCTCACTACTGTCTTACACCTCACTGCTAACTCACACCTCACTACTGTCTCACACCTCACTGCTAACTCACACCTCACTACTGTCTCACACCTCACTGCTGACTCACACCTCACCGCTGACTCACACCTCACTACTGTCTCACACCTCACTGCTGAATCACACCTCACTACTCTCTCACACCTCATTAGTGTCTCACACCTCACTGCTGACTCACACCTCACTACTGTCTCACTTCTCACTGCTGACTTGCACCTCACCGCTGTCTCACACCTCACTACTGGCTCACACCTCACTGCTAACTCACACCTCACTACTGTCTCACACCTCACTACTGACTCACACCTCACCGCTGACTCACACCTCACTACTGTCTCATACCTCACTGCTGAATCACACCTCACTACTCTCTCACACCTCCTTAGTGTCTCACACCTCACTGCTGACTCACACCTCAGTACTGTCTCACACCTCACTGCTGACTCGCACCTCACCGCTGTCTCACACCTCACTGCTGTCTCATACCTCGCCACTGACTCACAACTCACTACTGTCTCGCACCTCACTACTGTCTCACATCTCACTACTGACTCACACCTGACTACTGTCTCACACCTCACTGCAGACTCACACCTCACCACTGTCTCACACCTCACTACTGTCTCACATCTCACCGCTGTCTCACACCTCACTACTATCTCACACCTCACTGCTGTCTCACACCTCACTGCTGTCACACACACCACACTGCTGTCTCACACCTCACTGCTGTCTCACACCCCACTACTTTCTCACACCTCATTGCTGTCTCACACCTCACTGCTGACTCCCACGTCACAGCTGTCTCACACCTCACTGCTGTCTCACACCTCACTGCTGTCTCACACCACACTACTGTCTCACACCTCACTGCTGACTCACACCTCTCTACTGTCTCACACCTCATTGCTGTGTCACACCTCACTACTGTCTCACACCTAACTACTGACTCTCACATCACAGCTGTCTCCCACCTCTCTGTTGTCTCACACCTCACTACTGTCTCACACCTCATTGCTGTCTCACACCTCACAGCTGTCTCACACCACACTACTGTCTCACACCTCATTGCTGTCTCACACCTCCCCGCTGACTCCCACATCACAGCTGTCTCCCATCTCTCTGTTGTCTCACATCTCACTACCGTCTCACACCTCATTGCTGCCTCACACCTCAGAGCTGTCTCACACCACACTACTGTCTCACACCTCACTACTGTTTCACACCTCATTGCTGACTCACACCTAATCGCTGTCTCACGCCTCATCGCTGATTAATACCTCACCACTGTCTCACACCTCACTGCTGTCTCATAGCTCTCATGCATGTTCTCTACCACTCTAACATACCACTCTGCCACTCTAGACTTCGTCCTGCCCCACAGCTCCTCTCTCAGCACTGTCATAAGCTTTCTCTACTCCTATAAAGACACAATGCAGCTCCTTCTGACCTTCTGTTCTTCTCCATCAGCGTCCGTAAAGCAAAATAAGCATCTGTAGAGCACTTTCTTGGCATGAAACCGTACTTCTGCTTACTTGTCTGACTTAACCTAACTTCCACCTCTCTTTCTCAGAGTTTTATTGTACGACTCATTAGCTTTATTCTTCTGTGATTGCCATAATTCTGTATGTCTCCCTTATCTATTAAAATCTGCACCAGAATACTTTTTCTCACTTCCTCAGGCATCTTCTCACTTTTCATGAGCTCAAAAACTTTGATGAAAACTCTCCTGCCACCTCACCTAAACACTTCCATACCATCACATGTATGTCATCAGGATCAAATACCTTTCCCCTCTTCATCCTTACTAATTAGACCCTATTGGAGAAGGGTTATTGTCATTACTGCACATTACTGAATCACCTTTTGTGTTTCGACAGGAAACTTGTTGCCTGGAGACCAGATCCTGGAGGTAAATGGAGACAGTCTAATAGGAGTCACAAGTGAAAGGTAACCTTCTAAAGGTTTATACTTCATGAATTCTGTAAATCATAAAGATTACATCTCAGCACTGAAATATGTCTGTTTACTTCACAGAGCTGTGGATATCCTGAGAACAGCATCTGCTACCAATCACATGCGACTTCTCATAGCCAGAGACGAAGAGGCAAAGTAGGCAGAATCTGACTGAAGTAGATTTGTATTTAAAAAGGGCGCCCATGTTTGGCATTTGACCAATGCTGAAAACTAAATCTGCAATCTCTTTGATCAACATTTATCCACATAAGATACGAAAGACTCTTCAGTACAATAAACATAAATGCAGCAAAAACAGCAAATACACAGATGAATACTCTAAAACAAATGATAAACTAGGGATGAAACAAATCCTCGAATTGTTCGATTCATTAAATTCCTCAAAACAGTTTTTAATGTTTCAAAGATTCGTTAAATGTGCCGCACCTCCACTTTCACTTTTCTCTCCTCAAAACCTTCGCCTGTCAGCTGAATTGACCCCCCCCCCCCCCGACACACACACACACACACACACACACACACACTCACGCATGCACATGCAAGATGCATGCATGTGCACCCACACACAGGTGGAGTGGACAGGGAAAACAAATGTCTTATTTAGCCATTTGTCAGTTCTCCTGGGACATTTTAAGCTCCAACATAATATTATTTATAGATCAAAGATCAGTTTCTAATTGTAAACGAACACCATTCTACTACCCCATTAAAAACCCTAAGAAGACGTTCCTGCTTCTGCTGATTGGTTGGAAACAAATCCGGAGGATACAGAGGTTATGTGATGTGTTATGTCAGTGGAGAGACTTCTGGTATGGCAGCTTTCTAACCTGTGACCAGCCATCAGCATCACATACTTCCTTCCCATCCTGTAACCCTGATCCTCAACTGTTTACTGGGGTGGAGGAGAGATTTGCATATTAAAAATCAAGACTGTAGCACAGGAACTGCTGGTGTCTGCTAAAAATAGTCAGAAAAGCAGGATTTATTTCTCAGCTTTGGAAGAGGATTCCTGTCAGAGATGTGAAAAGCAGTGATCCGACACCACAAACTGAGCAGTAAAAAAATAGTCATGTTTGTTTCCAGATGGTTACGTCTCGGATGGATTCTCATGCTGACTGATGAAGCAGCCTAACGCCTGGCATTGTCTTATAGTACAGAACCAGGAGCAGAGCTCAACCTTGGGTGGTTCTGTGAAGAGATGAGTGTTAATCTGAGCTCTAAGTACGCTTTCGCCCACAACATGGGGGGAAGAGAGCAAGCTACAGCAGGGAAGAATTATGACGAATTCTGCGTTCGTCTAAATCCTCCTCAGCTTTTCTCTGCATGGAAATGAGTGAAAGTTCAGTTAAATGCTAAAGTACAAATGTTTGCTTGAAATCAGAAGGTTAGGAGCAGAAGCTTTTAGGGATTTGAAGATGGTAAGGTGAGCAACCTGCATAAAAGGACAGATGTTGCTCTGAAATGAAAACAGATTTAGTGAACTTGCACAAAGGAAGTAAAATACTTATAAATAATATAAAATGCTGATTGGTCTGGAGTTAAAAGTTAGGTAACTACAGTTAATCTCTTAGACCTGGGCAAAGTTTTAAAAATGTCACACAATTTATTAACTTGAGAGATCAGCATCGGTCTTAGTGGGAGCTAACAGCCATGTCAGGGGCCCGGGTACCTCATATTTTCATTCTGTTTGGATTGTCGCTACCATCAGCTGCCTCTAGAGTCCCACAAGCCCGAAGGGCCCAACAGGACTCTTTCCTCTGCTTGACAGCATCCGGAACTGCCAGTGTCCACCAGTGGGTTTGGGGGTTGCCACCACAACAGACACCAACAACTCTGCGGCCACAGCTCTAGTCAGCTGCTTCAACAGACCATGGCTCACTTGGACTCAATGGGAGGAAACATCTGGCGAATGTTTAATGTGGTAGCCAAGAAACTACCGAACAATGCCACAAGGAAGAAAGGAGAAAGTTAGTCGTGCAAAGTTCGAAGAGCCATGTTTAGTATGCTGGTGTGTGCTTCCCTTGTGTTATCTTACACTCATGTTTGTGCTTGTACTCTGGGTATAAACTCACTTTACTGTGAAACACTGATGGAGCTACGACCAAATCATGATCTGGTGAGACTGATGACTTGAACAGATTAGAAGGATTTCTGGTTTTCATGCCAGTGCTCTTCATCACTAACAATCGAGCTGCAGCAGATCCTGGATCAGGCCTGGGAACGGCATGGAGGGCAGCTCATAACACTGCGAGTGAGCCACCCTTGATCCAGGAAAGAGTTGCAATGCTGTCCGGTCCCAGATGGGGGGAGCAAACCTGGACAATCTGCATCCGTTGTTCTGTCAGAGCGACGCCTGGGTCCTTGAGCCCTTGTCTTACTGGGTCAGCGGTCTTGTGAACTTCCTGGGTGTGTCTGGTGAACGTCTGGTTGGTAATGAACAAAACTTTATCTTACTTTTTTATGGCTCAAGCGCTGGATTTTCTGTGTCAGTGAGACCTGGATGAATCACCCACATCTTGCTGATTTTAATATCCATGTGTGCTGCATGGATGAGCTGTTGGCCAAAGACTTTCCTGCTGAGTTCCTTTAACAAGTCACGGTGTGGGTCCTCTAGAGATTATGAATCCTGTTTTTTTGGGATCACTTGCCAGTTTTATGCCGTTTTTTCTACCTTGTTGGCCTGCAGTAAATGACACTCGTGTGACATGTTGTCAGGTTTTAAATGCAACTAAGTTTGCTGAGATTGTTGACATGTAATCCACTGGATTACCAAGCTTCGCTCAGCACTGAGGGGTTACCCTCCAGTTTGACTTGACCTGCGAATGTGTTGTGGAAGAGGTTGAGGAAGCCCCGGCTCAGATGGGCCTGTGGAAGCCAGAGAGGAAAAGGAAAAGAGTCAGTCTCCAAATTTCTCATGATATATTTATATTTATATTAGTAATTATTTATAATTATTAATAATATACGTAATTATATAATTATATTTAACCCAGCAGATTGCATGGACTCACCGTCCTCTCTATGCATGTGTATCATGTTAATAATCTGAACTTTGTCCGTGGACATCACCGTTATGTGTAACATGATAACGATTGTTACTTTCATTTATTTTTTCAAGGAGAGATTTTGCTGAGCTGCTGGAGAAATATGGTTCCAACGGCAGCACGGGATCAACCCGTAACTCACCTGTTCAGCAAGGTAGGTTTCCCACTCTGACCTCACACATGCGGATGTTTTCTAAGCACTAAGAACTTTTCTACACTTAGATCTTCATGAGCTGTGTTAACCAAACAACAACCAAACCAAACAATAATTTTATCATGAGTGTTTTATTAGTTCTTATATTTGCTTATCTCTTATTTAATTTTTTTTCTATCTTACCTTCTGCACCAAAATACCGCAGCAATTTCCTAATGTTGTGACTTGGCACACATGTGGCAATAAAAACTTCTGATTCTGAACATGCTGCCATTTCCATGTTTCTCTCCACAATAATCCCACTAATAGAAACTAAACTAAACACACAAGGACAAGCACAGGACCTCTTTTATGCGTTATTAGTTTTGTTTTTGTAATAATACAAAGACCACAGAAGTCAACACACTTAAATCAGGATGATGAGAAGACATCTGGCCTGGTGAACTGAAACTGGAGTTATTCAGAACTTTCTATGTTTAAACCTTTAAACCTTGAGGCTGAGTGGTGTAAGTCAGCCTTTCATAATGGCGTCAGACAACTGCTGTTATCCGTCACACAGCTATAGCATCTGCTGGGAAGGAGGCAGCAAGTACGTGTGAAGGAGCACAATGACCACATTCAAAAGAAACAAAAGTTTGGTTCTTGGGTCCAAACTATGCAGCCACTTGGTAGACAGATCCTACCAGTACCCAAAGGTTCTGGACTGAGATCTGGTGACTGTGGAGGCCGTTGGTGGTCATGTTCTAGAAACCAGTAAGAGATGATCTGAGCTTTGTGACCTGGTGCATGATTCTGCTGAAAGTAGCATCAGAAGATGGGCCCATATGGTCATAAATGGATGGAGATGGTCAGCAGCAATACTCAAGTAGGCTGTGGTGTTTAACCAGGCTCAGATATCACCAAGGGGTCCAGCGTGGGACTAGAACATCCCACCATCACCACCATTACAGCAGCGGCCTGCTTTCATGTCAGCGACACCAAATTCTGACTCGACAGCTGAAATCCAGATCCTGACCTCAGCTGACAGGAGATGCCTGGTGTGGTCTTCAGCTGCTGGAGTCCACCTTAGTACAAAGTCATGGTTATTGGAACTGCTGTGGGTTCAAATCCCTGTAGATCAGAAGTTTCTGATGGGTGGCTTGTCTTATACCAACAACCATGTCACGTTCAAACTTCTTTAGGTCCTCTTTTCTTCTCCATTCTGTTGCTCGGTTTGAACTTCAGCAGGCGGTCTTTACCACATCTAGATGAATAATTTCATCTGACTAGCCAGTTAGAAAGCTAAGTGGCTGGTGAGTGTGTTATAATTATCTTCTGTAACAAAAACATCACAGTGCTGCCCTTCTCAGAGTCCGCTCTGGGACTGGGAGATGGGTGTCGGGACCCAACGCCTCCCTGCTGGACTCTCAGCTTCAAGGGGTTGGATTGGCGGTAAAACCACCAAATAGCCGCTGCTGCAGCTCACTGCCCCCCCACGGGGATGGGTCAGATGCAGGGATGAGTTTCATCCGTGTGTGATGACTATGGGACTTTAACTTGAATGAAAACATTTTGATTCTGCATTTCTGAGGACTTGCTTTAAAATGTTGCTGCAGTTCGGCAGATTAAAATCCCCACAGCTTGAGAGTTAAACTAGTGTGTTTTTTCAGATTGTGATGTCAGACGAGCAGATGTCAACGCAACAGTGGCTTTCAAATTTGTCCCAGGGATAATTTTCTTTGCAGTTGGTTGGTCAGCATGTCAGGTGCCATGCTGTGCTTTGTGTCGCTCATGCTTAAAATCCTTGGCAGGACGGTGAGCGCTCTAGGAATGTCTGGGAGTAAACAGGGCCGCTGTTCTTTTTATATAACCTTGATGAACAAACCTTCCATTTTACAAATGAAGCCACGGTTAAGATTTTTTCTCTCAACCCAAAGGAGGTCGCTACCTGGACAGCACGTCGTCTGGCTCCTCATCGCGCTCCCAGAGCCCGCTGATGCTGAGCCCTGCGAGCTCTCAGACTGTTTACAACAACGGAGGCTCCATGATGCGCTCTCTCAGGTGTGTGTGTGTGTGTGTGTGTGTGTGTGTGTGTGTGTGTGTGTGTGTGTGTGTGTGTGTGTGTGTGTGTGTGTGTGTGTGTGTGTGTGTGTGTGTGTGTGTGTGTGTGTGTGAGTCCTTACACTACAGTACACATTGAAATTAAACATAGAAACGATTAATAATAATTGTCCCCGGCAATCTTCAAGTCATATTTGTTCATGGTTATTGACCCCAGCAATATTAAAACACACGCCCTTGCAGATACAAACACAGATAGTGTATGGTCCCTGTGGCAGCATGTTTTCAGTATCTTCCTGCTCACACACACCTGATTCTAACTGCTAAATAATCTTCTCAGCCTTCATCGGGTTTTGCAGGAGCTGCTAATCTGTCATTTTAATCAGATGTGCAGCGTTCAAGCAGCAAAGGTCTTAAACCAGCAGACGTCCAGCACTCGTGATGCTAGCATGTGCTTTAGCCTGTGCTAAAGTCCAATGTAGCTTAACGCTGCACTGATCAAGTAGCTTTAATGCACACCATCCCTCCTCATCCAGAGTTAGTGCTTTCTAAATGTTTTTAATGTGTGTCCTCAGTCACCCAGGAGAAGGCGTGATTCAGCTCATCTCCGTGGCTCGGTCCAACAGTTTAGGAATCACCATCGGAGGGGGTTCTAACCGGCCTGATGGACCTGCTGTCTTCATCCAGGAGGTTCTGTCTGGAGGAGATTGTCACAAGGTAAGAAATGGACCTGAACTAAAATGCACAGAGAAAGTATGCAACTACAGACCATAAAGGAAAAAAAACAGTCAATTTCCCATCGACTGTGGTCTTTACTTTGGTCCTGTTGAGTCAGCAGCAGTCCACAGCTCTCAGGTTTCTACATTTAAGATTTGACTCGTCCATCCGTTCCTCTCTGAGCTGGAAGAATGACTTGATAGGACAGAAACGGGTGCCCTGGGTAGGAGGCACATAGAACAGTGGTAACGATTGGAGGTGAAAGCCAGTGAAAGGTGGGACTAAGAGAAGTGGAATCAAGGAATGTGTCTGTTTTTAATATTCCTATTGTTATTTAGCTTGCTGTTGATAATAAAACGCTTTAACAGTAGCTGGACCACCATGAATCTAAAGTGAGGACAAAACAGCAGGTGTGGATGTTGATCACTGGTTATCATGGTGGAGGCCAGGGATGCAGCTGCTGAGGAAGTTGGTGGTGTAAGCCAAGCGGCTCCTAACTCCCAACACAGTTAGCACAACATCCGTCCTTCTAGGCTGTACAATTAACACATTTGTTGTTGCTTAAATTCAAAATGCATTCAGTCAACACCAATTTAACCTCTTTTACACACAAGCTCAACCAAGACCAAAACTATGTCATCTTACAGTCAGATTTACGAATGCCTTCACACGGCGTGTCAGAACAGATAGCATCATGTTCTAAACTGAACTTATGTAGGCTAAAGTCAGCGTGAACTCCACTTCATCTTAGTACACGGTTTTAGTTGAGTCCTGGGCAGTTGAGCGAGTCTTTATCGTCGACGGGGACACGGCCGATCCACCTCATGCTCTCCCATGGAATACACTCTTTGGGAAATGTTGGGAAGCAATTTACAGTAATATATGTTGAGCGCTAATGAAATACTCACTGTATGACATTGATGTCAAACAGTAAATAAATTCAGTTACATAACGTGGTCTCAAGGCAAGCGTGAAGAGAGGAAGGTGTGGACAACAATTTGAAGTTCAGGGCCTGAAAAAGGACTGTAGACCACTGTCAGCGGGTGCTACAGGTAGAGCCGTGCTAAAAGACCGTTTCTACTCAAATTCCACAGTTTTTTACACAACAAATCAAGCAAAACTGGAAACATTACAGAAAGCAGACTTTGTGGCTCTGACTGGGGATCATTGGACCTCTGTTAGATACATAATTACATTGAAGTGACCACCGAGTCTGCTGAACACTGGTGCCACCAGCAACTGATCTAAAGAAATGTGTTTGTGTGTAGGATGGACGTCTGAGGCCAGGAGATCAGCTGATTGCCATCAACAAAGAGTCTTTAATAGGTGTGACCCATGAGGAGGCCAGAAGCATGTTAAACAAGGTGAAAATCAGGTGAGTGGTGCTCGTAGCATCAAGATGGAGAAGACTCATCCTTGCTTTATAGAGGTGTGGTCCTGCTTCCTCACTATGACTCAAAAATGTATCATAACTCCTAAAAATAATTACTCTTAATACAATTACGCCCACCAAGGTAGCTCATCATCATCATCTTCTTCTTCTTCATTATTATTATGATTATTATTATTATTATTGTTGTTGTTGTTGTTGTTATTGTCATTATTATTATTATTATCATTATATTATTATCATTATCATTATTATTATTATTATTATCATAAATATTATCATTATTATTGTTATTATTGTTATATTATTGTTTTTATTATTATTATCATTGTTGTTGATGTTGTTGTTGTTGTTATTATTATTATCAATTATTATTATTATTATTATTATTATATTATTTGTATATTTGTGCTTTCACTGAAGTGCCAGAATCAATCCATGCTTCAAAGGCAGTTTCAGGGTTAGTTTATGGAAAGCATCCTTCTGATGTTGTGGGCACTTCCGAGAAGAACAATCTTCTGGATTTCTTGGACTGTTGGGTTTCCAGAAATCTGTTTTGTTCTCTTTTCCAGTCCCTTCTTGATGAGGCCAAGTGCACCCACTACGACGGGTATTGTTGTTGTCTTCATCCCCCACAGTCTTGTGACTTCTATTTCCAGGTCCTTGTACTTTGATAGATTTTCAAGCTCCTTGGTGGTGACATTTTTTTCAGATGGGATGGTCCTATCAATCATGAGGCAGGTCTTCTCTTCTTTGTTTTTGATGATTACGTCTGGTCTGTTGGCCATGATTTCTCTGTCTGTCTTGATCGGCATGTCCCACAACACTGTGATGTTGCTGTTTTCAGTCACTGTTGGTGGTTGGTGTTCATACCACTTATCTGCAGCTGGTAGATGGAAATGTTTGCAGATCTCCCAGTGGATATAGCTTGTTGCCCTGTCATGTCTGTGGATGTACTCAGTTCTGGCTAGAGTGGGGCAGCCTGAGAAGTTGTGGTAAATGGTTTCTTCATATTGGCTGCACATTCTACACATGGGGTCTGTTCCGTCTTTAATGATCTTGTGGTGGTATGATCTCGTTGACAGGCTCTGGTCTTGTGCTGCTATCAACAATCCTTCAGTTTCTGCCTTCAGTCCTGCACTGCGTAGCCACTGATGAGTATGATCTTGTTCTACGTCTGCTTTTTTTACTCTCAAGGGGTATTGTCCATGCATTGGTTTTTCCTCCCATGTTTCTCTCATCCTCTTTTGGGCCCATTTCTTTGCCTCCCTTTTGGTCCTCTTGGCAAAGCTCGTTACTGTTTCTTTCTCATTTCTTGCCACCTCTGGGATGTTTAGTTCCTGTGCATATCTTATAGCTTCTTTTGTAACAGAGTACAGCTTCTTTTGTAACAGAGTACAGCTTCTTGCGAGCTTCATGTTGACAAACAAGGATCAGTAGGGCATCGACTGTTGTTTCAAGGTACAGTAGGTTTTCAATGCCATTGTTGTTGTTCTGTAAGCCATCTCAAGTTGTGTAAGTCCTCTGCCTCCAATCTGTCTTGGTAGATACATTCTTTCAACATCCGCTTTTGGGTGGTGCATTCTCTCAGAAGTCAGCAATTTTCTGGTCTTGGTGTCTAGTTTCTTTACTTCTTTAAGTGGCCAGTTGATGATGTTAAAACTGTATGTAACCGTTGGAACAGCTAAAATGTTGATGGCTTTGATCTTATTTGCAGCATTGAGTTCACTCTTGATGACAAGCCTAACTCTTCTGTAATACTCTTTTTTTACTTTTTTCTTTCATGGTAGCATGTTGTATTCCATCTCCTTCATTGACCCCAAGATATTTGTATGTATCCTCTTGATTGAGCTACATTATGAGTCTCTTGGTCCAGTTGTATGTTTGATGTTGATGTGAGTTTTCCTTTTTTGAATGTAACCTTTGCACATTTGTCAAGTCCAAATTGCATGCAGATGTCATCACTGAAGAGCTTGACTATTTGCAGTAGTCCCTCTTGTTGGTTATCGTTTTTGGCATAGGTCTTCAGATCATCCATGTAAAAAAGGTGGTTGATCTTCTTGCCTTGAACCTCATAGCCATGTTCACTGTTGTTTAGCATGGTGCTGAGTGGGGCTAGACATAGACAGAAAAGGAGAGGTGATAGTGAGTCTCCTTGAAAGATACCACACCTCACTTTTATTGGTCTTGTCTTGATGGATCTTTCGTCATAAGTGAGCACCATAGTGGTCCTCCATGATTCCATACTTGTCTTCATGAAGGTAATGAGAGTTGGTGAGATTCTATGAAGTTCCATTACATAATTATTATTATTATTATTATTATTATTATTATTATTATTATTATTACAAGTCAGCTTAGATATGTATTATATATAATAAGCCACTGACTACGTTTACATGCAGCCAATATCCGGGTTATGATCGGGTTAAGGTCGGGATTCGGGTTTCTGAGTTGATCAGAATAACCCGTTTACAAGCATAAATAGAAAGAGTTACCCCTAACTTGCATAACCCGATTTAAATGCGGACATTGGGGTAGCGTCAGGACGTGTGGACTACGTCAAGATGCAATATGCGTCATTTCTGGTTCTTCTTGTTCCGGTATCCGTGAAAACAACAACATGTTTCCCAGTTCGGAAGAGGTAGCGACCGCGTTTGTTTGCGCTTCAGTGCTGGTATTGACACACCAGCAGCTCTTACAACGACTGTGCATACTGGCCTTCATTCGAAGGAGAGTACGTACGAGTACTTCCGGTGTTCTGGCGCATACAAGACGTCTCGCTACTCAAAAGACCAAGATTCCTTGCGAACAGAGCATGCGCAGAACACACGCTTTGATGGGGATATCGCGGTATGCGTTTACACGACCAAACATTCGGGTTAGAAAAGGGTTACCCCAGGTGTAGTAACCGGGTTTTTAAAAACCCGGTTATGAGCATATCCGGGTTTTTGGCGGTGTTTACATGGCCGTGCGGAACCGGGTTATTGTGAATATTCGGGTTTTAAAAGGGTTACTGGCTGCATGTAAACACACTCAGTGATGAGGTCATGAACTTATTGCAGCCTCAAGGGGGCACAATCCAGTATCATCTTCAGTTGGTCCCAGGCCCAGACAATTGCTGAGGATTGTGGCAGGAAGCGCTAGCCTGGCCTGCCAGACTCATCCTCTGTTCCCATAAGGAAGCATGGGCCTGGCTGGTCAGGCTAAGAAAACACATCCAATGTAAAACATTGCCAAAAAAAAAAACGTGTGAATCACAAAAAGAAAATCATACCTTATTGGTTTAGTCGACTGGTGCTGGTTGATCTACAGCAGTGAGCCCTGAGGGCCACCCTCCAGCATGTTTTAGTTGTTTACCTGCTTTAACACACCTGCTTTTAATAAGCAGATCTTGTTGAGCTGCTGTACAAGTGAATCAACTGTTGGAGCAGGGACACAACCAAAACATGCTGGATAGCGACCCTCTGGGAAGTGAGTTGTCTACTCCTGACCTACAAGGTGCTGGTAGAAACTGGACTAGTGGTGGTCCAGGATGGTGAGAAAGATGGTGTGCTGGTAGACAGAAGATAAGAGCAAAAGCCAGAGATAGGAAGGTGGATAGAGTACAGTACTGTGCAGATGTTTTATGCAGGTGGGAAACAATACTGTAAACAAAGAATACATTCATAAATATAAATAACAATATTTTTTATCAAATTGTAAAGTGAACATGAACATCCAGGCAAGGACATTAGGAATGGTCTTTGGCGTAAAGACTGGCACTGAAGCTTGCAAAAATAAATCAACAAACAATGAATCGCCATGACAACATATATGATAGACATTTATAATTACTGCTGATGCAGTTCCTAAATTATAAAATCTATTTTTAACAGCTGTTTGTGTCCTGACTTCGCCTGCTCACTGCTGCCTGCACCTGTGAGAGGTGTGCGGTGGTGGTTAGGGTAGCTCTTTGCTTTTTTACTCAGCTTTCTTTATGCCTTGGGGCAAAAATGCATCAAATTTTGTAACGAAAAAGCTGGTAAAATAAAATAAATTATGCTGGTAACTCCAAATTATTCATTTAAATCAATTTCCCTCTGGGATTAATAAAGTATTTTTTAATTGAATTTGAATTGAACTGAATTAAATTTTATAATTTGGTGAATCCATAAAATAATAATCAGGTACCAGGTCAATCTGAACTTGTAAAGTCCGAAACAGGAGGGATCACGGGAGAGACCACAGCAAAAACTGGCAGGGGAGCATGAATGTCACGACGTGCGCGGAGTGAAGCGGAGCAAAGGCGAGGATCCAGACCGGGGAGGAAGCAGGCAGACAGGTAGGATGAATTCCACAGGTTTATTAAGTAAAGACGCACGCTGACACTGGAACAATGACACCACCAGGAACACAGAACAGCAGGGGTTTAAATGAGGAACGGGAGCTATGGTGATTGGGAAACAAGAGGCAGGTGGGAGCAATTAACGGAGACACAGACTACAACCTAGGAGAAGACAGGACAGGGTGTGACAGTACCCCCCCCCCCTCAAAGGGCGGATTCCAGACGCCCACAGGAACCAGGAGCAGGGCGGGGGGAGGGGAACCTGGAGGGGAGGGCCCAGAGGACGATGGAGAGGCGGCAGGGAACGGCAGAGTCCGGGGGCCGGCGCCTGCGGCAGAAGAGGAGGCGACGGGCCCGTGGAGGCCGGCGCCTGCGGCAGAAGAGGAGGCGACGGGCCCCTGGAGGCCGGCGCCTGCGGCAGATGAGGAGGCGACAGGCCTCTGGAGGCCGGCGCCTGCGGCAGATGAGGAGGCGACGGGCCTCTGGAGGCCGGCGCCTGCGGCAGAAGAGGAGACGAGGACGGACTCTTGAGGACCTGCATCTATGATGGAGGAGCTCTGCAGGCTGGGCCGGCGACAAAGTCACTGCAGGCTGGGCCGGCGTTGCCCTCAAAACCACCATCGGCACCGGAGACCGTGGAAACACCGGGCTGGACGGA